TTAAAAATTACCATTATTTTCTTCATAAATTTTTTTATTTGTTTCATGAAATGCTAAATTATTTTTTCCTAAAGTTTTTACTACATCAAAGATTCTTATTAACATATTTTTCCAATGTTCTTTTTCTTTATTTATTTGTTCTTGGATTTGTTTGTCAGTTGTTTTATTATTTGTTAATATATTTTCTAAGTTAATCCATGACCTCATATTAATAATGTGTCCATTACTTGCTTCATGTCTTTTTAGTTACTAGAAATATTATTCCAATCATTGTTACATTTATGTGCTAATGAACATGTAGATGTATTCACATTAAATAATTTACAACAAAAACAAAAAACTTTATCTACATCTATGGAATAAACCAACCATATTCGTTCATATTTTTCTCCATTTGGTATTTTTTGCATATAAAGAGATGTATTAAAAGCTTCTTAAATATTGATCTTTTGGGAAGCGGTTTCAGTGGTGTCAGATCAAGATGTCTGTTTTACTTCCAGATTCTGGAAGCGGTTTCATGACGAGATGGGTACTCGTCTCCATTTTAGCAACGCTTTCCACCCTCAGACGGATGGGCAGAGCGAGAGGACGATTCAGACTCTTGAGGACATGCTCCGGGCATGTGTCCTAGATTTCGATGGCAGTTGGGATACGTATCTCCCGTTAGTGGAATTTTCGTATAACAACAGTTATCATGCGAGTATTGACCGCTCTCCTATCGAGATGCTCTACGGGAGGAAGTGAAGGACCCCGATTTGTTAGGGCAAGGTCGGTCAGCGTGTCATTGGGAGCACCGAAGTGGTGCTCAAGACGACAGAGTTGATCCAGCAGGTTCGTAGTAGACTGCAGACTGCGCAGAGTCGGCAGAAGAGTTACGCCGACAGGAGGCGATCAGATTTGGAGTTTCAGGTAGGCGACATGGTCCTCCTAAAGGTATCACCCTGGAAGGGTGTCATCAGCTTTCGAAAGAGGGGCAAGCTGGGCCCCAGGTTCATCGGTCCTTTCAGAGTTTTGGCCCGGGTGGGTTGGGTCGCTTATCGGTTGGATCTTCCAGCATAGCCTAGCCAAATCCACAACACTTTCCATGTTTCCCAGTTGAGGAAGTGTTTGGTAGATGAGTCAGCAGTTGTACCCTTGGAGGATATTCAGGTTGATAGCAGCTTGAATTATATTGAGAGACCAGTTACGGTTTTGGATCGAAAGACGAAGACCTTGAGGAACAAGGTGTTTCAGTTGATAAAGGTGCAGTGGCAGCATCGAAAAGGGTCTAAGTGGACTTGGGAAGCCGAGGAGGAGATGAGGGAGCACTACCCAGAGTTGTTTCCAGATACTGCAACGACAGACTTCGAGGACGAAGTCTAAAATAATTGGGGGAGAGTTGTAACACCTAGTCCCTGATATCTATTTTAACCTAAGTATTTTTGCATTTTTAGCTGGAAGTCGGTGAGTTGCAGGCCCGAATCGCCGAGTAGAGGCGAGATATCGAGCACGTTTGAGTTGGCGATTCGACGAGTCCATATCCTGGACTCGGCGAGTCCGCTTGTTTGGATGAAACCCTAACTTCAAGGGTTTGCACCCTATTTAAACCCCCCTTATGCGCCCCAAGCTCGCCCCCTTCACTCTCAGAGCACCCTTTATCAAACCCTAACCCTCCCCTTTGTTATTTGAGTATTTGTATGCTTTTCCTTGAAGTTTGAAGAAGAGAAGGAAGGAAGGACCAAGGAGAAAGAAAAGAGCAAGGATCTAGAACTCAATCCAGAGTCTATCAAGGTATATTTCGGATCCTTTCTGTTGCCATGATGATTTTCTCTAGAAAACCCCATTTAAGCCATCTTTACCCATTTCCTAGCTTGATTATAATATAGAGATCATATTGAGTGGAATGGCCTTTGAATTTAGCTAGGTTTGAGCTTCAAAAGCCCAAATCTACTACCTTTATGGAGCCATATTGCATGAAAGCCCTAGATATACTATTTAGTGTGTTTTGAGCCTTAAATTTGTCATTGGGGTTTATCTACACGTAAAGTTGGAAACTTACGTGTTAATCGAGCCCTAAGAACCCAGATCTATAGATGGAATGCACTGGGTTCAAGCATAATCGAGTATATAGTGATTGAATGCATGCGACTCGGTGAGTCGTTCTTCGGACTCGGCGAGTCGGGTCGCGAGTCCTCGAGTTTTCCCCTTCTATGTATTATGCTGAGTGGAACCATTGAGTTTTAGGGGGGCTCAGTAAGTCGGAGATCGGACTCATCCATGGAGGGACTCGACGAGTCAATGTCCTGACTCAGCGAGTCCAAGGCAATCTTCATATCTCAAGAACAGACTCGACGAGTTGTTCATACAACTCGACGAGTCCCAGTAGGAGTGTTCATATGATGAAGGAGAACTTGACGAGTTGTTCATACAACTCGGCGATTCGGATGCAGATTGACTAAGTGTTTGAATCAAAGAGGAACTCGTCGAGTTTATGCCAAACTCGACGAGTAGTAGCGAGCAGAATTGAGAATTGAGAGTAGGGACTCGACGAGTTGGTGGCCCAAATCGACTGTATGTTGACTTTGACCAAGAGGTTGACTTTGATCAGGGGTAAAATAGTCATTTTACCTTCAGTATAGTTATCAATATTTGATTGAGTGTACTTATGAAAATTGTAGCCGGGGTGAAACCGGAGCAGCAGCAGACAAATTCCAGAGCAGTTCATTCAGCAGCTAGACTACGAGGTGAGTTTCCTTCCAGTAGGAACGGGTCTACGGCCACAATATCGGTCCGTTAGTTAGCAGTAGTTCCGGACCTCGGTCCGATGGAGTAGTTAGATTGCTTGATGTCTTTGTGATTCAAGTATGTTTTGTATTATGTATTCCGGACTTCGGTCCGATGCAGTATGCAGTATATGTGCTTATCTTAATTGATATGTTTATGCTATGACATGTTATGCTCAGTCAGTTTTTGGACTTCGGTCCGATGCAGGGGACAAGGTCCCAGTTAGTTCCGGGCTTCGGTCCGATGCAGTGGGCAAGGCCCTAGTTAGTTCCAGACTATGGTCCGATGCAGTTTCCGGACTTTGGTTCGATGCAGTGGGCAAGGCCCAATATGTGTTTATATGTTATTGTATGGCATGTGGTAGTTTGGGGGAGCTCACTAAGCTTCGTGCTTACAGTTTCAGTTTTGGTTTCAGGTACTTCCGCAAGTAAAAGGAAGAGCTCGGGATGATGGCATCGCACACACCACGACTTCAGTTTTTGTCCTGGGAGTTTATTAGCTTTTCATTGACATGATTTGATACAGTCTTGATACAATTTTCTTGTGATACTTTGTTATGGTTTTGATACATTGATGTATGGGTTTTATTCTATGGTATTGATCTTATGATTTTAGCAATGATTAAACAAAAAAAATTTGGGTCGTATTTTGGGATGTTACAATATAGTTTCAAATTCAATGACAACAAAATAGTTGATTGCCTGATTACCTGATTTTGATTTTAGAGTTTTGACTTCGAGGCTTGAGCAATGGAGAAACACGAGAGACGAGAAGCCGAGAACAACAGCCAACAGGTCAGCAATGAGCCAACGATTCAATCGACTGTGGAGCAGTGGAAGAATCGATCGGAGAAGAAGGGCAGAAGGCCTAGAATCGAGTCCGAGTATGGAGAAAAGAAGGGAAGTTTAATCGTCGTGGCGTGATTGTAGTAGAAAGAATCGCAGGTGTAATATTTTTTGGAGAATGGGAAAACTAAATGGGGTCCCTTACAATTTGGGGTCCTAAGCCCTACCTTTACACAATCCAACATAAGGTCGGCCCTGGCTAGTTGATAATTACCATTATTAACAACAATTATGTACAAATTTTAGACGTTCATTGAAGTTTATCATAAGTTCTAATTTGGTACAAACCCTTGACATGAACATAAGGTGAAGTCTATTTAAAGGAAATGTGTGGAATAATATGGTGTGTGTGGGACTAGCCCACTTCGTAGAGACTTTGTCTAGATTGAAGGTCTTGGGTTTTAATTCGAACGTTGACGAATTTATTAACTTGGTGATACTAATATCTGACTACTAACCAACCGTTTAAAAAATAAAAAAAATATATGGCAAACGACATAATTTCTCAAAGGGTTTGGACTTTGGAAGGAATTGAAGAAAGTTGAGCAAATTCGACCCAAGGTATTCTCTAGAAGTGTATAGCTGGAATGATAAAATGATATGTTTATTACTAAGTTTAATGAGTCAAGCCAAGAAAGTCAAAGGCTATAATTAAGGCCATAAGACCGCACACCATATAGGTCACTTTCAACTTGTAGTTAGTCTGTGATGATTATCTTTACTCATTCTACTTAGGATATATCATCCGACTTTCCTATAATCATCTAGTTAGCAACGTACAACTTTTAAAGCTTTATTTACAATATCTTGGATGCATATACAAATGGTTAACAATAGCAATACACTTTGTGATTAAAATGGATTATGTTTTCATGTCATGATATATGTGGTTTTCTCAATACTTGTACCATTCTTAAACATCAATGGTTTCATAGGTGTAACAAATGCAACAACTTTAATAAGATAATGTAATGTTACATTTATTAAAACGAGTATGTTAGGTCACGTTGGCAACTTACAAAAACACAATGCTGATTTGATGTGACATTAAATAAAATCTTTTAAGGATCTCAAGATTTATACATTAAAATTTAATTATCTGTTAACAACTTGTAGCTTCTAATTATATTCTTTTAGTTTTTTTTTAATCTTCAGTTTTATAAAGGTTTATTAAAATGTGATGGTTGACATAATAATAGTATAGTCAATAAAGTATTTGGACGCCCCTTTAAAAAATAATATTTTTTGTGTTATCGGGAGTTTGGCGGTTTTGAAAATTATTTATTTTAATTAAAAAAATCAAAGAATTATCGAAATAATAAAAAAAACAAAATAAAAATAAAATAAAAAATGTAGTTCTTTTAGAGGAAGTCGTGGATAAATCCACTTTGAATGGTGGTCTTACTGCTCACTCTTCCAATCACCGTCGTTGATAGTTTCGTCGTCGACATGTTTACCGGCTTCAACGAACTCATCGGCTTAAACTTCGTCCTTCAAAAACCCTCACCATCTACCGGAGCTATTTGGTACGCCGCCGGTCCTGTAGCTGTACTCATGTTCGCCTCTCTTGTCTACTCAATTTCATCCAAAAACAGGAAGGAATTGAACATCGGAAAGTTAAAGTATGATGATGTTTCAGCGGAGATTGCAGACGCGGCTAGAGGCTCGTTTCAGAGATCTGATGACGACGAAGTTTCGTGGAAATCTGCAAGCGATGGTAAGGGTTTGTTACGCCACTGATTTCACTATGAACGTATGTTTTCCGTTAACTATTCGAGTATATTTCAACTCTAATCTTGTCATTAATCAGTTGATTTGATTGATATTTGATTTGTCCAGCTCAATCATGATTATCGATATAAATATTTCCGTTTTAAAAGTAAAAAACCTCATTACTCCATGCTAATTCAAGAACTTGATTGTCGTTTTCTCCATCATCTTGTATCATCATATTTCCTTTTGTTCTTTGTCTTTATGCGATTTGTTTCGATTAGTTCATGTTCATGATTAGGAGTCGTATGTCCATTTCGTAACTCTTTTTGGCGTTTTTGTGGATTTTATGTTTAATTATCACTGTACCTTCACCTCCTCCTCCTCTGTTGCACTTTCAGTGATCTATACAAATTGCGGAGATGAACTGGTAAGCTAACTTGCTAATCATCTTCATCTTTAATCATGTTATTAGAGCCTTTAATTTTTAAAACAGATAATCAAGAGATAATCTGTTGATTAAAATGTCAAAACCCTGCTTCAAGGATGTTTTTAACCACCTCTTCTCTTCATAGATAGAATCTCAAATGTTGTTTGTCAAAATCAATCATGTTTTTGGACTATCAATGTGTCTGAAGATGCATATAAACCTATCTTTCAGTACTTTTCCAAGAAGACAACGATGACATCATACCAGAACCTGATTCCAAATTCGCAGAAGATTTACAAATCCAAGAAGCTTTATTAGCATCAACCTCATCCCACAAAACAAGATCAACCCTAAGTTCATTATTGAAGAGCACAGAATTCAAAGAAATCATCTGCAAAATCTGCTTAGAGAATCAAGAATCATGGCAGATGTTCACAAACTCAACATGCTCTCATTCCTTCTGCTACACCTGCACCAGAAAACACGCAACAACAAAGATCCACGAATCCAAGAACACAATCACATGCCCAGAACTAAACTGCAAATCCACATTAGATCCCAACACCTTGAGACAAATCATCCCAAAAGAAACCCTAATCAAATGGGATGAACACCTCTGTGAATCCATGATTCTTGAATCCCAAAAGCTATACTGCCCTTTTGCTGACTGTTCTGTTTTGCTGATAAACGATGACATCAGCATCACAAATATCGATTGTCCGGTTTGCAGGCGCGCGTTTTGTGCAGTGTGTAGGGTTCCATGGCATTCTGAGTTTAGTTGTAAGGAGTTTGGGAAACTTAAGAGTAAAAGGAAAGGGAAAAGAGATGATGACATGGCAATTGCACTTGCTAAAAAGAAGAAATGGAAGAAGTGTCCAATGTGTAGGTTTTTTGTGGAGAAAAGTGAGGGGTGTTTGCATATAACATGTAGATGTGAGTATGAGTTTTGTTATAATTGTGGGGGAAAGTGGAGTTCGAGTCATGGTGGATGCAAATCAAGATCTTGATTATGAAGGAAGATAGAAGTTAGTGTGGATATGGTATGTAAATATTATCTCCATTCATATAATATATATATATATATATATATATATATATATATATATATATATATATATATATATATATATATATATATATATATATATATATATATCTAGTTTTGATAGTTTGTAAATTGTAAATAAACATATTAGGGCAAATTTTAGAGAACCCCTTACATTTTCGTCTTTTATCTTAAAATCCGTTACACTGATAATTTGGATTTTTCCCATTTAAGTCATGATTTACCTAATAAAATCGGTTAGGGTTGTGTCCATGTAAGTATTTGTAACCTGTGTTAACCGATTTTAGTAGGTAAATAATGGCTTAAAAAACGGAAAAAAAAGAAGACGTTTTTATGTGGAAGAAAATTTTGTAATGGATTTATAGGTAAAAGGTTGAAAATGTAAGGGGGTTTTCTGATATCTTTCCATGATATTAATTAAATTAATATTTAGATTGTGTTTGTTACATAAGACATGATTGTATTTGATTCGACTGTAATGATGTATTAGGTTTAGGTTGTGTTTGTTACATGTGACATGATTGGATTTGGCTGATGCTGATCTGTGATGCATGGTTTAGACTGTGTTTGTTAACGATGACTAGGTTGGATTTGACGGTTTTATCATGTTCATTTTGAATTTTATTTTTTATATGAGATGAGACTGGATTGAATTGTATTAAGTACTGAATGACAAATGCTTATTAGCATATAATATATATAGCTATGAAGAACCTAGGTTATACTTTATGTGATTTTTAAATTGTTTGATTTGATCTCTTTGGAGGAAGCTTTTGGGTATCTCAGATTCTAAATAAGTTTAGTAAAATGCTTTTTAATGGTTTGTTTTTTACGAGAGTTATTGTATGTATCAAGCTTTGTAGTTTGAAGGGCATATAAACAATGAAAGAGACAAAAAAATTGATTGGTTTATATAGCTATTATCTATTTTTTTTTTTTTATAGATATGTATAACGGATAAAAAAAAGGTAGAATATCAATCAATGCGCGGGAATGTAAAAACAATCAACGAATTTTATTGAATTCATATGTGAATGATAAATAATGGTAACTTATCATACTTTTATTTCGAAGGATATAATTTGTAATTTTATCTTAAAGAAATTTATAAATTTAGCCAAATTTGTTAATTATTTATTAAAAAAATAGTTAAAGATTAGTATTTTTTTTTCAAAATAGCCACTAACTTCCCTGGTAATTATCAACACTGGGAAGTTGGAGCCTCAGCTGGGAAGTTACCGGATTGAGAAGTGACCCATTTTTCTCCCGATGGGCGGGATGTATATAAACCTTAATTTTAGGAAATCAGTTTAATTTTCACTCTTAGATCCAGAAAAATTCTCTCAACTCCTCAAATGCTTGAAGATGAATAATCTCCCAAATGTTTTTTAAGATGAATACTATATCGTCATCTGTGAACTTCTTGTTGGGGATCAATAATATAATGCTCACCCACATCATTACGATTAGTACTAACATCATCTCAACTATCTACACTACTCTTTGTTACAAGAACAATGAAATATTCACCAGAACTTATTTATAAAAAACAAAAATTCAAAAGAAAAAGCTGATAATCTAACAATATTTACATAATTTTTATAGATAATCTAATGTAATTGTACGAATTAATAGTCCAAGATGTGAGATATCATAGTCAAAAGCAACAAAAGTGTAGTTAAACCTATATATTTTATTGGAAACATAAATAAAAAAGAAATAAATAAATCAAGAATATAGCAAGGAATGTAAAGGAAATCGCAGTTGAAGGTGCCAAGTTTGCACCCAACTGGGATGTTGGAACTTTTTTAATGAGTTTTTTTAATTTTATTTTGCCTTTTATAACTACTAATTGTTGTCGGACCATGGTTGGGAAATTGGTCACTTCCCCGTCCAATAATAAGGAAACTTCACAGTTAGAGGTGCCAACTTCTCGAGTGTGGGTCGAGCCACCTAGGAACTTAGTGGTTAGTTTCGGAAAAAAATGATTTTTTTTTTTTTTTTTGTCTATTTTTCAAAAGGTAATTAATGTTATCGGTTAACTTTGTAAATTTTTCTTATTTTGTTGGTTTATTAAAAAAAATATGGTCTAAACCTTTAGGAAGTTTAATTTTATAAGAAAAATAAGAAAAATAATGAATTATTGAAATTAAAATACGTGTTTATCTTTTAAATTTAAACAAATAGTTTAAATAAATAAAAAAAGAAAATAATTGAGCTTCAATTTAGAAATTTAGAAATTAAAAAGAAAGTTGTATAAATGAAATTGATTTCATTTTATTATTAAATTTATTACAATTATTATATGTATGTGGAATTTCATAAAATGCTAAAAATAAATATAAAATAACACATGGAAATAAATTAAAATAACCAAAACCGTGTAACAAAATAAATAAAAATATAACGTAGAGTAAAAAAAAATTATTTATCAAATACAAATATTGCTCGTATTTGACTCCATGGATTTCAAGTCATAAACAATTCCCTTGAAATAAAATATATGGTTGGGCAGGTTCCTTCATATTGAAGATTGTGTACAACTTCTACTTTAAATAAAGTGAGATGATCAGAGGTTCAAATCTCTATGGAGACATAGGTGGTTATTTAGGACTAGATTAGTTAGTTTATCGTTTAAAAAAAATAAATTTACTGGTAAGATCATTTTCATGCCTATGTTGTGAACACTGAGTTAAATTTAGTTTTAGGGCATCATAGTCATTTTTCTTCTTTTCTCTAGTCTAGTCCCGTTTATTTTTCTTTGACCCGTTCTTATTGAAGGAAAACTCACCTCTCAAGCTGACTACTGAAAACTCGTGCGAGAGTATCTCTGATGGCTGCTCCAATGATTCCCCGGCTATCATGAGCAAAATAAACACTTAGTAAAAAACTGAGAATCCTTCTAAGGGTAAAATGACTATTTTACTCCCTTGATCTAACTTAGGCCATGACTTAGGCCCAATCCCTTCTAGCCTTTCTAAACTCCCTAAGGCCCACTAAAGGCTCATTAATGGCCCAATTTTCTAACTTGGGCCCAACTCCTCAAATGGGCTTACATCCTAAGCCCAAACGTATCCTTGGTCCATTATTTGACTCCTGGTGGTCCATTTCGACCCAACATCTGCTAAGCACAAAGATTGGCCCAAACCAAGGCCTAATGTCTTAAAGCCTAAAAACGAAGTTGCATCATAAAAATCCATTCGTTGGACCTAAAACGGTCCAAAGCTCCATGAACCTAGATCTAAGCTTTTATGAGGAAAGTTGGAAGCTTTATACCACCTTTGAGTGCCAAAAGATGAGGTAATCCTAAATCCTTGAGCGCAAGACACTCAAGTTCTTCTTCTCAAACTTCTCTTCTCTACTTCCAAGCTCTACTTCACCAAACCAAGCTTCAAAAGGCCAAACACACACAAGAATGGAGTAAGAGAGGATATTTAGGGTTTCTGAGGTGAGGGGCTGGTAAGGAGGCCAGGGTTTTTGTCATAATGAGGTATTTATATGGATTAAACCCTAAAAATTAGGGTTTTAGAGGTTTTGGAATCTGCTCACGTACGCTGCACATACTCCTTGGTATGTTGCGTGTACGTGCATGCGTCCACCGCATCCAATGCTCCTCTACGCCTCATGTACACCAAGGCTATGCCCAGCGTACGACTTATGGGCGGCCCAAGTCCTCGGCCCACTTGCTAAAGTCCACTCCATAGTCCTTCCATATACACTTAGCCCAATAAAATAAATTAAGAAATATTTAATAATTATTACCTCAAATGACGGTCGTTACAATTCACCCCCACTTGGATCAGACTTCATCCTCGAAGTCCGTTGCATCCGGGAACAACTCTGGTTAGTTCTCCCCTATCTCCTCCTTAGGCTTCCAGGTCCACTCCGAGCCCTTGCGGTGCTGCCACTGCACCTTCACCAGCTCCACTCTCTTGTTGTTCTGCTCCTTCGTCTTCATGTCGAGGATAACCACTGGTCTCCCGATGTAGTTTAGGCTGTCATCAACCTACATATCCTCCAAAGGCACAACCGCTGACTCGTCCACTAAGCACTTCCGCAACTGAGAAACATGGAAAGTGTTATGGATCAGATTGAGCTCTGCTGGAAGATCCAGTCGATACACCACCTTGCCTACTCGAGCTATAACCCTGAAAGTACCGATATAGCTAGGGCCCAACTTGACCTGCTTTTGGAACCGGATGAAACCTTTCAAAGGTGACACCTTCAGGAGGGCCATGTCGCCCACCTGAAACTCCAAGTCTAAACGCCGCTTGCTGGTGTAGCTCTTCTGCCGACTCTGAGCAGTCTGGAGCCTGCTGGATCCGCTCTGTGGTCATGAGTACTACCTCAATACTCCCCATGACCCTCTGACCGACCTCAACCCTACAGATTGGGTTCCTACACTTCCTCTCGTTGAGCATCGCGAAAGGAGGTCGGTCTACGCTGGCGTGGTAACTTTTGTTATATGAAAATTCCTCTAATAGAAGATATATATCCCAGCTGCCACCGAAATCCAATACATATGCACGAAGCGTATCCTCGAGAGTCTGAATTGTCCTATCGCTCTATCCGTCTGTTTGGGGGTGGAAAGCAGTATTAAAGTGGAGACGAGTATCCATCTCGTCATGGAACCGCTTCTAAAAGCTAGAAGTAAAACGAACATCTCGATCTGACACTATCGAGACAGGCACTCCATGTTGCGCCACTACCTCTTGCACACAAATCTCGACCAACTTCACTATCGATATGCTCTCCTGGATGGGGATAAAGTAAATGCTCTTGGTCAACCGATCCACGATGACCCATATCGAATCAACCCTACGTGCGGTCCTTAGAAGCTTAGTGATGAAATCCATAGTAATGTCCTCCCACTTCCACACTAGGATGTCTAACAGCTGCATCTTGCCATGAAGCCTGTGGTCGAAGATCTCTATACATATTTGTCGCCCTAGGATGGATTGAGAACCTGGACTTGTGGGCCTCATCCATCAATATCTTCTGTACTCCGCCCCAATACGGTACCCAGACCCTCCCGTGCACGGTCAACAATCCACAATTGTCGTAATCAAAGGAGGCCACCTGGCCTATGACCCGCTCGCACTTACGGTGCTCCTCCTTCAAGCCCTCAACCTGCGCCTCTCGGATCTGCTCCAGCAATAGGGTAATCACTGTCATCCTCAAACAAATGTCTCAAATCGGGCCCGCTACCGCCTTGCGGCTCAGGGCATCAACCACCACGTTGGCCTTGCTTGAGTGGTAAAACATCTCACAATAATAGTCCTTCACCACATCTAACCATCAATGATGCCTCATGTTCAGATTCAGCTGAACCATGAGGTACCTCAAACTCTTGTGGTATATGTAAATGGTACAACGGACCCCGAAGAGGTAATGCCACCAAATCTTGAGGGTGAACAACACAAACCCCAACTCTAAATCTTGTATCGGATAGTTACCCTCGTGAGGCTTCAACTGCGTCGAAGTATAAGCTATCACATGACCCTGATGCATCAAAACCGATCCCATGCATGTGATCGAAGCATCAAAGTAAACTACGAAGTCATCAATACCCTCTGGCGAGGTTAGAATCGGTGCCTTGCATAACCGTTGTCTGAGGGTCTCGAAGGATGCCTGCTACTCAGGACCCCAACGGAAAACCACAGACTTCTTTGTCAGTCGGGATCAAAGGAACTGCAATCTTGGAGAAGTCCTGAATAAAT